AAGTGAACTAAACTAGGCACAGCAAGAATATGTGTTCTCAATCTTTTGCAGAAGCTAGAAAAGATCTCATAGAAGTAGAAGGTAGAGTGATTACCAAAGGCTAGAGAGGGAAGACTGGGGATGAGACTGATCAGTGGATATGAAGTTACAATTAGATAGAGTAAGATCTGGTATTCTACTGTACAGTAGTAAGATTATAATCAATGATAATCTATTATAATTTCAAATTTATATAAGTACCTTAATAATTCTCTTCACTGGGGCAGAATGCCTGACCCGCATAACTTGAAAGAGGAATGATGTATTTTGGCTCATGGTTTCAGAAGTTTCAGTCCATGCATGGCTGGCAGCCTTAAATGCACAAATAACATGGTGGAAAGTCTTACTATGATGGAACGCTGCTCACATCACTGTGTCCAGGAACCAGAAAGAGAAGAGAGGAACTTGGGAGGGAGATATACCCTTCAAGGTCACACACACACACACACACACACACACAGCACCCCACCAACCATGACACAGCTCTTCTGACCAGACCCCAACTCCTAACAGCCCAGCTCCTAATAATGCCCACATAATCCATTCACCTTCCAAACACATGAGACTTTCAGGGCCAATAAACATTTACAGTTATTATGTGTTGCTTAAAAATAAAAAAAGAAATGGACAGATGAAAAAGCTGCTCAATGTTGGAAAAGAAGAAATAAGACAGATCAGAGTCTAAGGAATTATTACATTAAGTCTGGGATCTACTTAGAAATCTTAGGGGGGCTGAGGATTTGGCTCAGTGGTTCCGCCACCTGCCTCACAAGCTCAAGGTCCTGAGTTCGATCCCCAGTACCAAAAAAAAAGGTTTAAAAAAGAAATCTTAGATATCTAAGTATAAAGATGCCAAGAAACTAACTTCTAGAAGATTTTAGAGATTCAGAAAGAAGTTAGGCTTAGACTATAAAGGTATGAGTTGTCAACATACTTCTGGTGTTTAAAATCATGAAACTTGCCAGGTACAATGGCAAATACTTATAATCCCAGGCTCTCAAGATCAAGGCTAGCCTGAGCATCTTTGCAAACCTCTGACTCTAAATAAAATAATAAAATAAGATACAGAGCTGATGAGCTCACCCAAGGAGTGAGTATAAAAAGAAAGTTAAGGGAAGGGCCAAGGATTTAGCTCAGTGATTCCACCGCCTGCCTCACAAGTGCGAGGTCCCAAGTTCAATCTCCAGTACCAAAAAAAGATTTTTTTTTTTAAAGAAAGTGAAGGGCTAAGCATTGCTTCCTGGAGTACCTCCAAGTTGGAAATGGAGAAAGATGAGGAGATAGCTAAGAGAATGAAGGGAATAACCAGTAAGATAAGAACCAAGCCAGAAAGAGTGGAGCTGTGGAAGCTAAGTGGGTAAAGTGTGTGCTGGATGAAGGACAGAGTAGACAGTTGTATCACTTGCACCTGAGAATGCGTGTAAACTGAAGACCATGAATCATCGCATTTGGCAACCTGGACACCATAAGCACTGACAAGAGCTGTTCCAAGGGAGCAGCTGGAATGAAAGCCCTCCTGGAAAAAGTTGCAGAGACAAGGATAGAGAGAGAGAGAGGGAGACAGAGAGAGAGAGAGAGAGAGAGAGAGAGAGAGAGGAAGTACATGTAGCTTTCTAAAGGAGGTGGTTGTTTTCTTTTATTATAACAAAGAAAAAAGAAAATAACTGGATATGGGGGGAACAGAGGCAACAGAGGCTATTAGTGTATTCTGTTTTAGGATGGGAGAAACAATAGCATCTGTGTGTGCTGGTAGAAAACCTCCAGGAGAAAAGGGGAGACTGAAAGAGAGAAGAAATGAGATAGAATTGATAGAGCATTTTCCGTGGATAGGTGCAACTGGATGGCATCGAGCACAATAGTAGATGGGCTGGGTTTACATTCTGCCATACAAAGTGTTTAGCGTGCTGGTTAGCACTTAATAAAGGCTCAAAACTGACAGATATTAAACTACCACATGCCAACTAAAAAGAATGGGATAATAGGGTCTTCCAGTGGCAATGCAGCAGCAACACTGAGTAGATTAATGCAAGAAAGATGAACAGAATAGTGACAGTGAGATGAAGACCGTCAGAAGCAACACGGAATCATGGTGGCTAGCATTTCAGATATTGATCTGAGAGTGAACAGGTACCTAACAGGGAGGAAAAAGAAAGAATTTACTTCATGGGGTGAGTCTGCCAGAACCATGATCACACACGGCACTTGACTCCTCAAAATGCTTAATGGGTTGATGACTTAATTATGTTGCCCTTTATAAATTTAGCAGGATGGAAAACGCTTGTCTGTTACCTCACAAATGTTGTGTGCATAATATTATTTCTGTGTACTTTTCATATTCTTTTACTGACTTTTACTGACTCATAAAGGCTGAGCAGTAAAGCAGAGGTACGATGGAGAACTCAAAAGGAAGGTGGGTGGTAAAAGCTTAGCTGCCTTTTCCACTGGGAATCACATGGATCGAAAGAACTGCAGTCTAACTTGTTTTCCTAATATGAACCCAACTAGATAGCAGGTATTGAATGAAATACAGCATACTTACCTCTCAGCAAATATGAAAATTTAGGAAACCACATTTTGTTATTGAAAACTAGTATTTGTTCAATCTTATAATAATTGTACTTCACTGAGATATCATGGGTAATGAATTCAATGTATCATATCGCTGTACTTATTTCAATATAAATTTGAAATTCCATTCTTCTCAAAAAAAGCCCTAGGTCTAATAAAATCAAACTTAAGAATATGGCAAACAATTTGACAGCACTTCACTGCAGAAAACGTTAGTATAAATGAGAAAACTTTCAATTTTACAATGTTCTACAAAAAAAAATCATTATAAACATAGAAAGCCTTAGATATTCACTGTGGAGGTAACCTGTTTCTTTCTCACAGCTTTTCCAATCCTAGGATGACCATCACTAACATTATAGAAACTCTATCAATTTCCTTTTTACTTAATCCAAGCCACTGGGTCCGTAATGTAGAATTATCTTCTTTACTTTATATTTCAAAATTTTAAGGTTTTTCTTTTCCTGAATTTTTCTCAGTCAGCTCAGTACAAATGTTATTCCTGAAGAGAAAATGGTCACCTAAAATATGTGAGAAAAGCAGGAAAACAGAAACTTGGCACCTAACTGTGGATTAGCCATTATACAAATGGCCACTAGGAAATTTTATCTAAGAATTAGACAATTACCTTAAATCCAGCCCACTACATGGATTTACTAAATAAAGTTTTGTTGAAACACAGCAACACTCATTTGTTGATATATTGTCTATAATCACTTCTGCATGGCAGAGTTGAGTAGTTGTAAGACCACATGGTTTGCAAAATAAAATATTTACCATCTGACCATTTACAGAACATCTTTGCCCGTCTCTAGTTGAACTGATAGATGATAGCCTTGTTAAGCAATGTTTGTTGAGTATAATTTTGTGGCCATATTTTACATAGCCAAATGCCAGGCAAGAGAAATCAGATTATGAACCAAATCATCACCTAAGAGAATCGAGCTCCTATAAAAACAGTATATGCTATCACTGAGAGTAGGATTTTTTACATTTACTGTTGACTGCTTAAAATCAAAATTTATCAAATAAATTTCTAGTAATGGGCACCTACAAATTAAATAGATTTTTCTTTTTAGGTTGCCATGGTAAAAAAAAAAATTCCAAATACCTGTATCAAAAGCATTTGAAATGCATTTTTGCCTTTCTAAAGTCTGCTTTTTACAACTGCTTTCTACTCCACGGAGTTCCAAAGGTTCAGAACCTCCCAGCATTTTTTACCTTATCATTAAGGGTTTGGAAAATGTGAGAGAATTCTTAAGAGATTATTCTTAGATATTGTCATTTATCTGAAATGTTTGTGTGCAGCTTCTCTCCAATGACACGTGTATGGAGAAAAATACAAGCTGAGTGATCCTCCAAATGTTGGTATTTGTTTCCATTGTTAATTTTTAAAGTCCTAATTTTTGTCTGTCCTGAGCAAAAATCGAAACATTTTAATTGCTTGAATAGAGTACTATAGTAAGTTTATAGCTTCTGTGTCTCAGACAACCTATATTTAGGGAAAATTCAATTTACAATGATGTCAAGAAACAACACGTATCTGCAGGCAAAGATAAGGAAAACACGCAGGGGTACACAGAGATAGCTCTACTTAAATAAATAAAGTTTGGGTACTAGTGATTAGGTACACAGGATTATTATATGTTTAATTGGCTAACATGCCAATTTGAAATTACTTCTAGTCACATTTAATTGGATTTGGAATCTCTAGAGAAAAGAAATAGAGAGGCCTAGCAAAGAAACAGTCATAAAAGTAAACTGTTTTTTACAAAGGGTGCTAAGTAATGAATTAATATCCATTGCACAATAGTTTGTAATATCCCCTCAGCATAATAAGACCAAGGCGATGATTGTACACACTAGATACTAAAACTAATTCAATTATACATAGAGTTTGGGGAAGGGGATTGTTTGTTCAATTGAAGAATTTTTTTAATTTTAAGAAGGCTAATTTAATCAGAGATGAATAATCTGTTACTGTAATAAAGTCTGATATACTTAAATATCTGCCTCGTAATTGGTCATATATGCTGTACTAGGTGTGAAGACATTTAATCCATACATGTGTTATTTATAAATGCTTTGAAGCTTAATACAAAACAACCAAAACAAAGCATTCCCTCGCAATCTTTAAACATTCTTACACTGCGCAATAGAGAAAACATCTAGAAGATAAATGGCTCATTCCTTCTCTCCTATAGCTTTAGTGTGGCTACCAAAGAAAAAAATCATACCTACTTTCTATATTCTAAAATGTGCTTTAGGTTTTGCTTAATTCTAGACAAATGGAATTCATGCATTACAAAATCTTTTTTGGTATCTGTACATTCTCTTATGGTTTTTCTTCTGCCTTATAAATTTGTTTGTTAAAAATGCGTTCTCATTCTTAGGAGTGCCATGATTGCTGACTACATGTTCTGGCTCTGTGGAGGAAGTGAACAGTGTATAAGCAAGCTCATCAAACTATATTGGCAGGTAAAAATTGATGTCCCAACTAGGGAGGAGGAGCCCTCTCATTTTTAGAGTCAAAATGAAAGATGGGTGCTTGTAAGATTGCTGAAAAAGGTAGCTCTGGGCATATCAATCAGAAGGACACCTATCCAGTTGTAATGTATTTATAATGAAGTAGATTTTTCTGAGACTAATTTTAAGGGGAAAGTTCAAGGTTGTTAATCCTTGGTCCATACTTCCATTTTATAACCCAATATAAATTTTAGACATCTCAGGAACAATTTTTCCAGGCATGCTGTTATAATGACAAGATTATTTAAATATGGACATTTTATTTTCACAGATTCATTTTTTCTTTTTTCACAAATTCTTATTAATCAGTGACCTGTAAAAGCATTTGTAGAAGTAATATCAATTACATAATTAAAGATAAGGCAAATATCAGATGCATTGTTGGATAACTTTTACTACTTAAAACACTTAACCAATAGCAAGTTTCCTTCTCCTTTATTACTCAAAATGGTGGCAAGAACCTGTATTAAAGTTCAATTAGATGTCAAAAATAAAGGTATAGTTTCTTAGAATTATAAAGAGAACTTAACAGTTTGCTGGTTCAGTCTCCTTCACAACATATGAATCTGGTTTTGCCCTCTCTTTCCCAGAGAAGTTGTCCACAAGTTCCTACTAAAATATGCTTAAACTGAAGAGCTCTCCCTCAGGAGAAAAAGAATTCAAGTGTACTAAGTATCAAACTTTTTTCCTCACTTTGCTTTTCACTCCCTAAGAACTTCCATTCAGTGGTTCCCAGTGGAAAACCATTGACCAAATGGAAATTTATTTTCCAGATGAAATTTTTCATATCTTTGAACTGCACATATGTGCCTTCTCTTACATATCTTCACCTCTCCAGACTATATGAGGATTTTCTGTCTTGTATTTTAGGGTGATTTTATGTGACTAAGTATGAGCCATCTGTATCAACTAGAATAAAAGCTGCTAAACCACTAATGGGAAAGTAAGAAATAACCAGCAGTAGCCTTCTGGTGCTTCCTGATTTTTTCCACATTTTTACTATTGTATCTCATTCTTTTAGTAGGCAGTATTGTTTGCTATATAAAACTCCTAGTAATGTCTATGGTTCTATCCAAATATTTGGAGCACAATTTACCTACCATTAAAATACCGAATAGTTTCCCTGGTATGAATAATCTGCAATAATACATAAGATCCTAATAAGATTACTGACATTTAGAAATGGGAAGAAAGGAGCTAAAGGTGTAGGGAAGGTGGGATGGGTAGGGGAAGGGTAATAAGGGAAAAGAAAAAATCTGTACTGTATCCCTAAAATGTACCAATAAACTCAATTAAAGCTGAAAAAAATATATATATATATATATTCCATGCTGGGGATTTAGCTCAGTGGTTCTGGTGCCTGCCTTGCAAGCGCAAGGACCTGAGTTCGATCCCTGGTACCAAAACAAAATAAATAAACAAACAACAAAAAAATCATATACATATATTCCTACCATACTTGAAAGCTGTGGGGTTTTCCTTTCCTTTTTTCTTTTCTTTTCTTTCTTTTTCTTTTCTTTCTTTTTTTTTTTTTTTTTTTTTTTTTTTTTTTTTTTTTTTTTTTTGTTTCTTTTTTTGTAAAATGATTTACCTTTGGGGAGACAGTATTTTCTTTTCATAAAAACCATCAATTTTCTGGTAATTCTCAGACTTTCCTAAAGGAATCTGCATGATACAAACTAAAGTAATTGCTTATGAGCATGTAACTAATTAATTGTAAAGCTTTAACAGGTGCGAAAAATAAGCCAATGACATGGGCTGTACATATGTGCAAAAAAAGACTTTAAGTATTTTAGAGATTTCTTGAGAGAGACAAGAAAAGAGTTGATTCTTATAGATTGGGCAATATTCCACAGGTCTGTCTTACAATAGGTTTCCAATAAATGTTTGGCTCAAGTTGTTAATTTAGCATTGTTATGTTAAGCAAACATAAATTGTAGACCTGCTGTGCTTTCTAGAGTGAACTAGGAAAAAATAGATCTGATATTGGTATGCTGTAAGACAAATTAAGAGCTTGAAAGTTTTATAAATATAAATGGTTTCTGTTTTTTTCCACTTCCAAAGAATATTAATACTCCTATTGTATTTACTTCAAACTAAGAAAATAATCTCCACTTATGAATAAATGCATGTTTGCAATACAAAAAGGAATAAAACAAATATTTTACTATTTTACATTAATAAATGATAAGAGAAGTGTACTTTGTATTATTCTTCTCATTTAATTAAAAGTAAAGTATAGCGTGGAAAAGTGTCCCAGTCTGAAGCCAGGTATGATTAAGCATGGGCTCTAACACCAATTAGTAACTGCACCTAGGCAAGGTAATTTCTTGCTTTGGCTAAAGGAGCTTCAACTGAAAAGTAAGAGATAACTGACATAAAATATTTGAGAGATCTATTCTTAAGGCCCACTTTCATATTAAAATTGCATCCAAAATTTTAGGTTCATCAAAAACTAACACCTCAAATTTTAAGGAAAAAAAGAAGTAACATAATTATAAATTACAGCCTGTAGATAAACTCCACACACTAGCACCCTCTAAGGAGGCCCAACACAAGCAAATCACACCATTCTCTCACCAGTGGCATTCTCTTCTCCTACCCTGATCTTCCTCTCTTCTTTCAAAGGTATGTATCCCTCGCCATCCCCAGACCTTGTTCTGTCCTAAATAAGAAAGGTTTTGGATAGTCCATGGAGTATTCAGTCTGTACATCTATAGAAACAGAGATGCCCTGATACCCAATCCACCCTGGCAGTTACACTGATTACTTTAAGAATATTCCCAAACATCTCAGTCTAGAGATGGAATCTGCACATACAATTGTAGAATCCATTAATAGACAGGTGCTATTTTTACCTACTTTATAAGGTAAGAAGTAATTATGTACAAACAGTCCCCAACTTAAAATGGTTTATTTATAATTTATTGACTTTGCAACAGTGCAAACCTATACCTGTGCAGCCATTCTTTTTTACTTCCAGTATAGCATTCAATAGTTACAAGAGACACTCAGTATTTTATTATAAAATATGCTTCACATTAGATGATTTTGCCCATCCTGAGCACATTTAATGTAAACTAGGCTAAGCTATCATGCTCAGTAAGTTAGACATATAAACACATTGTCAACTTGCAAAGGTTTATTGAGACATTAAGAGTAGGATGATCTGTTAATGCCCTTTATGAGTACATAAAATCCCTACCTCCCTCACTGGTTAATCTATCACAAATTCTGAAACACAAAAGAACGTATCTTTGCTTTAGCAAACTCAAGAGCACCTTTCAATTGTATAGGGAACGCTTTTCATACCATAAAATCCAGCAAGGGGAAAAAGGTATAAAGTTCTATACTATATGACAGCTCACATTGGGAGACATCTCTCCAAATAAAAGTGTTTGTGCATGCTATTCTATAGTAGCATCACCTCTACAGAGCTAGAGAGGGTTGAAAATAACTTGTGATGACTCTACTGGAATACAGTGCCTCTGCAAACTGAGACCCAGGCTTCAGTCAGCAGTTGTCCACCTAGAGAATAACTTGAGACCTCGTCACAAGTCCCCACTAATTATCAAAATGCAAAGTACCTCATAATGCTAAGAATTAGAATGGAAATGGCTACCTTTTGGTATTTATATGTTGATCCTGAAGTAATATTATTACAGGAAGAAGTTTATCCAGATAGTCAAGGCTATCTCAATAATTTGTGCCAATTTTCAGATCAACAAAAGATAAACTTCATAAGATATAAGCCATTTGCCAAGTGGCCATAGATTGTTCATCCCTGGAAAATCCCACTTCCCATTTCCCAACCCCTTAGGTCCAGGGCCAAATTTAATAGCATCATGAAAACAACTGCACTTCCCTCTTTTTCCACTACCCTGTCCCATTCTCCCATATTCACTTTCAGCCATGTTTTTAGCCACAAATTTTGCCATGTGTGTGGCTTCCTTCTCTGCAGTTTGAGTAACAGAACTAACCCTGGTCTGCACTGCTCAACAAAGTAGAGAAAGAAAAATATGATAACAGCTAATTTTATTTCAGAATTCCACAAAATGAGTGCACAGAGAAACCCCACTAAACAGGGACAAGCTGCCTGATCAGCTCATTTCCCACCTTAATTGTACTTTTTTTCTTCATTTTTTTACTCAACCTGCCACCTTATCTCTTTAAATCTGAAATCACAGACCCGTCTGAGAGCCTGATTCAATTTACAAGCATCTATTGGAACAACATTGATACGCATACACACACACACACACACACACATACACACACACACCAAAGCACATATATGCACAGACACACTTATTATTTATCTCACTGCGTTAGAAATTGGTCTCCACGTCAATACCAAAGCAGAATTTACAGAGAATTGTAGCTCTCTCACTATTGTGAGAAAATCATTATGACTTTTTTCTGATATGAGAAATTAAATATTTGTCATCGTACCAATTTCAATATTTTATTTTAATGGCATAAAAGCTTTACCTCTTGTTCACAAAATCCCCGTTAGCCATAAAACAGAGTAAGAACTCTGATGGCTTATAACACCTCACATATGCAAACATCCATCAAAAATGCCAAAACTTTCTAACTGAATTCATATTGTATCATTTTGTTTGTCCTTAAGTCAGTGAAATCATCTTTGCTTGGCCTATAACAAAGCTATCTACATTGGCAGTTTGTTCCAATTTTTAGATTAACAAAAAAAATCTCATAAGATATAAGCTATTTCCTCTAAGTGTCTAGATTTTTGCACCTGGAAAATCTCAAGATTTTTTTGTTCTCACCTCCAGGACTAGGAATTTCATATTGTTATTTGCCTTCTGCCACCTCCTTTAAAGTAGCTGCACGGCTCAACATTTTCAGTGCAAGAACTTGCCTCATTTATGATATTAGCCATTATAAAGTTAGCCCTCCAATAACTTCTCACTATCCAACTGTTCTGA